AACTCTTAACAATTTTTGCAGTAGCAGCAGCAGCAGCATTTCATACTCATTTGATTACAGATTATTTTTTATGTTAACCCATTTTATTGAGCATGTTCCTCTTTGAGATCTGTTGATCTACAGCAGCTTAGAAATACTTTATCAATAAACATAAATTCCTTTATGTCCTCCTTTTTATCCTCTTGAAGTCATGTAGTTAAAATGCACTGTATAGCCTTGATGATTATGCAGTACTCCATTTATTGAACGAAGAAACATGTAATTGAGCAGGAAGATATTTTCAGACCCTCCGTCAATTTGCTTTAATTGTGAGGAAGAGCCAGGTCGTATTTGGTTGGCTACTGGAATAGCTTTCTCTCCAGTGGCTGATTCTTATATCTCAGGCAGGGAAGACACCCAGAGGAGGACCTCTGATATTGATCTTAGGGAATTGTTGGTAATAGCTAGGGGGAAAAAAATGTGTTAGAACTTTATGGGTTAATACCAGCAACATGAATTGGAACTGGAAAAGAACCTTATAAAACTTGCAAAATATATTCTCATTATCCAAGTATATTCAACGCTCTGATTGCATCATTTTTGGATCAAATAATTTAGGCTGTTTTCAAGGGCAGCTGTATAGCATGTAGCATTAACCTAATGAAACGTGTATCAGGATATGGATTACTGCAACGAGACCTATTCACACGGAGCACTACAGCCTAAAATGTGTATTATTCTACAAAGGATGTGTATATATAATGATAAAAATAGAATTAGAAGCTATAAACCTGATCCTCCCAAAACAAGAATACAGTAATAGCATTTCTGTCTTGCCTAGATTGAGCTTCAGTTTCTTGGCTTTCATCCAAACCCTCAGTGCAGTCAAGTGCTGGTTGAGCACTTCCAACTCCTTACCTGGAATTCTTGAGAAAAGAGTAAAAACATCTGCGTGCAGATGACACATTACTCCACATCTCCAAATAATGTTCCCTATGTTCCTTTGTTCCCTGAGGGTGTTCTATAACGTGAGAACCTTGGAGAATTCTCCCCCATTGTGAATGTCAATAGGTTGAGTAGAAATCTTCCAGCACCACTATTGGAGCTAGACATGTTAACCATTACAAAGCAGTTTATCCTGACCTATGTAAAGAATTTTCTCAGAAGGATATCTGAAAGCTCCAGAGAACTCTAAGAGAATGGACAGGGTGCATCTCACTTATCTCTTTCCTAAGAAAGATAATCAGAACAGAACAGTATAACAGATTTGGAAGGGACTTGGAAGTCTTCTAGTCCAACCCCCTGCTTAAGCAGGAGACACTATACCATTTCATACAAATGGGTGTTAAATCTCTTCTTAAAAACCTCCAGCAATAGAGCACCCCCAACTTCTGAAGACAAATCTGGTTAATTGTTCTAACTGGCAGGAAATTTCTCCTTATTTTTCCTTGATTAGTTTCCATCTATTGCTTCTTGTCCTGCCTTCAAGAGCTGTGGAGAATAGGTTGACCCCTTCTTCTTTGTGGCAGCTCCTTAGATATTGGAACACTGCTATCATGTCACCCCTAGTCCTTCTTTTCATTAAACTAGACATACCCAATTCCGGCAACCGTTCTTTATATGATTTAGCCTCCAGTCCCCTAATCATCTTTGTAGCTCTTCTCTGCACTCTTTTTGAGAGTCTTATATTGTGGTGACCAAAACTGGATGCAGTGTTCCAAGTGTGGTCTTACTAAGGCCTTGTAAAACGGTAGTAGCACTTCATGTGATCTTGATTCTATCTCTCTGTTAATGTAGCCTAGGACTGTGTTGGCTTTTATGGCAGCTGCAACATACTGCTGGCTCATATTTAATTGGTTGTCCATTAGCGGTCCTAATTCTCTTTCATAGTTACTGCTAATATGCCAGATACCTGCACATTTGGTTTTTCTTACCTAAAACCTTGCTTTTCTCACTACTGAATTTTATTTTGTTAGATAGGGCCCAGTCTTCAAGTCTGTCAAGAATCTAGATCTTGAGCCTATCTTCTGTCTATCCCTTGCCAGTTTGGTGTTGTCTGCAAATTTGATGAGTTCCCCTTCTATTCCCTCATCTAAATTGTTTATGAAGATATTGAAGAGTACCGGGCCTAAGACAGAATCTTGAGATACTCCACTGCTTACTTCCCTCTATACAGATGTAGTTCCATTGAGGACTACAAGTTGAGTACAATTTATTAGTCAGTTACGAATCCATCTGGTGGTGATGCTGTCTATCCTACATTTTACTAGTTTATTAAGCAGTAGATTGTGGTCTGCTTTATCAAATGTCCTACTGAAGTGCAAGTAAATTATATCTACAGCATTTCACTGGTCCACTAATTTAGTTACTTTTTTGAAGATTTCAATAAGATTTGACTGGCATGATCTGTTTTTGTCAAAGCAACACTGGCTTCTGGTTATAACTTTGCTTGCCTCTAGGTGTTCACAGATTCGTTGCTTGATTATCTTTTCCAGAATCTTCTCAGGTATTGATGTCAGGCTGATAGGTCTGTAATTTTCTGGATCCATATTTTTTTCCTTTTCCAATCCTCTGGTAGTTCCCTAGGTCCCTAGGATCTTTGAAAAATGTGGTTCAGTGGTTCTGAGATCACATCTGTCAGTCCCTTCAGAACCCTGGAATGTAATCCATCTGGACCTGGTGATTTGAACTCATCTAGAGTGAATAAGTGTTTTCTTACCATTTTCTTGCCTACTTTGACTTGCATTCCTAATCTGTCTTTTACGGTATTGTTTTTGATATATAGAACTGTTTTTTTGGGGGGGGGGCACTGGGATAGTTTCAACCAGATCTAAAAATTATAAAAGTGAATCTAAAACTGCTTAAAATGGATCTAAAATTTTTAATTGATTAAAGAATATCCGAAAAAATACCTATAAAAGAGTGAGAATCAATGTACAAAGTCAGTGACAGTTTAACCAGTTCTGTTTAAAAACATTACCTTCTGTTCACTACTTGCTTAGGCTTAAAATGCCAGTAAAGGGTCAGAGTTTCAAATAAAGTAAAAAGTGCCTTTGGGGCATTGCACAACCTTAATTTATATTTTGACTATTATTTATTCCCATGAATTAATATTGTTTGTCTATAGTGAATCATTTGTTCAGAACTACAGAAACTGCAAAGAAAAAAATGCTTAGAAGGTTTCTGAGTACTGATGCTGATCTGTCCAAACCAGAGGTCTAATAAGCTAAATTCCATGAAAATCATATGTACATGCATATATTTACTGTCTTTGCAAGTCCACTGGAGTTGGGTGGTCAATAAATTTAAGCAAATAATGAAAATAATAATGATATGATAACAATAACAACAAGTTAGGACTTGAACTATTAAGTTTTTACCAGTTCCAGACTGTGAATCAAATTAAAGATTAAATATTAAATAATAACAAAATACATAAAGCGAGTTCAGAATATGTTGAGATCAAAGCTGAGTGGAGGAAATATCATAAAGGCAGTTAACACCTGGGCAGGGTCTGTAATACTATACTCAGCTGGAATCATTGATTGGACACAGCTAGAACTTGATAACTTGGATCGAAAGACAACTAATGATAATGCACCATGCTCTGCACCCAAAAAGTGATATTGATCTGTTGTACTTGTCTAGATCTCAGGATGGCAGAGGACTCGTATATGTGAAACAAACTGTGGAAGAGGAAAAATATGGTTTAAAAGACTACATTAAAAAAAGCAAAAGAGCCTTTGCTGAATAAGTGAAACCTCTTGAAAACAATGAGATTGAAAGCAGAATATTGAAAAGAAACAATTGACCATTTAGCTTCTAATTGGAAAAAGAAGCCTATGCATAGTCAATACCTGAAAGCCATTGAAAGAAAGGTAGATACAAAGCTAACATGGGGCTGGTTGAGATCAAGGGTGCTGAATAAAGAAACTGAAGGCTTCATTTTGGCTGCAAGAACAAGCCCTGCAGACAAATTCCATGAAAGCAAAAATTCAGCATGTCAGTAACAACAGCAAATGTCACTTATGCAATGAGAAAGATAAGACAGTGGATCACCTTATCAGTGGCTGCAGCAAAATCTCACAGACTGGTTATCTACAAACGTCATAATCGAGTTGCCAAAATCATACATTGGAAGCTTTGCCAGAAGTTTGGGTTCGAATGCAGTAAAAATTACTGGGAACACCAAATTGACAAAAGTTCTTGAAAATGAACAAGTCAAGATCTTGTGGGACTTTCGGATCCAAACAGACAGATAACAGCATGCCTGACATCACTATTGTGGAAAAGAAAAAAGTCTGGTTCATTGATATTGCAATACCAGGTGATGCATGAATTGAAGAAAAACAGCTAGAAAAATAACAAAATACCATAATCTGCAAATTGAAGTTGAGCGAGTGTGGAGGAATAATAATAATAGGAGCTCTTGTAACAATATCCAAAGGGCTGCCTGAATATCCTGAATATCCTGACTGCAAAAAACCATTCTACTTGGAACTGCTTATATACTCAGAAGTTACCTTAACAGCTCTTAGGTCCTTGGTTAGGACTTGAACTGTTAAATTTTTTTCCCAGTCCCAGACCGGGAATCAAATTGAAGATTAAATCTTAAATTATGATATTACTTATAGAGGCCTTAGGAATGAAGAATGCCAAAACACATTTGACTTAACTTAGGATTTTGCTGCTGTGTTGAGGTGCTACCAATTCTCCAGTCTCAAAAATTATCACTTACAAAATGTGTGCAAGGATTTATACAGTAGATATGAAAAATAAATATAAGATAGCCATGGCAATGAGAATGTGGCATTGCAAGTTCAATTTACTTTCGCACAGGAAGTGATTATAATAACTTGCAGGTTCAGGACAGAATTATGTCAGATGTCCTTGTTCAGACAGCAATCATTACATCGGGGCAACCACTTTCAATGGCTTATGGAATGTTGGTATGAATAGGAAGTGTGCCTTTTATGCAAATTTTGCTTTCAGCATTAACAAGACTTTTATAATCTCCGCAGGTGAGAAGCCTTACAAGTGTTCATGGGAAGGGTGTGAGTGGCGTTTTGCAAGAAGTGATGAACTCACACGGCACTACAGGAAGCACACGGGAGCAAAGCCCTTCAAGTGCAGCCATTGTGACAGGTAACAGTTACTATTTTCTCTCAAATTATATCCCACTTCTTAATTCAAGAAGTGCTCTCAAAGCAATTAAAATATTATGATGTTGATTGGTCCCACAGTCAGCCAGACGATTAGGCTGGATTTGGCATTTTTATCCACCTATCGAGTCCTGGGAACTGGGAAAGGCAGCTGTTGTTTGGTAGTGTTAAAGATATTGTGGCAGAATATAACCTGATCCAAATAAAGCTGCCTTTTGCAATTGACTGATGGTAAATTGGTCAATCCTGATGGTGCTGCAAGTGTTTTAGCATTGCACCCACAGTGCCTATTACCGTTAGTACTATCTTTGCTTTCTTTTGCCACAGTTTTTCTATTTCTATTTGTAGGTCTTTGACTTTATTTTCTCCAGTTATTTCTCTTTTATTGTGCTGCCTCTGTCTTTTGATGTTATCATTATTTAAATACAGCACCTGTCTTATTTTTGTGAAAATGTATTGACTTTGTCTTTCAAATGTATAGTTTTGTATACATTTGTACTTTTATGACTTCTCTGCACAGATTCTAAAGAAAAGATAATACATTCTGCAGCTCCTGGATTCACAGATACTGCTCAAAGAGCAGGTGGCAGCTATGCCCAGGGGGCCTTTGTATCGGTTCATCTGGGGCACCAGTTGTACCCTTTCTTCAATTGGGAGGTCCTTCAGTCTGTAACTCATACTCTGATCACCTCACAACTACCATACTTGGAGCAGCCTGGAAGCTATAGCTGATTTAAAATTCAGTAGCAGTAACAGTAATAGTCATCTGTCAACATGCCCATGAATCCCCAATACTCTGCTGTATTGGTTGTCATTCAGCCTCTAGGTCTAATTCAGGGTGCTGTTTATTACCTACAAAGCTGTGTATGGCATAGGGCCTGGAATCTCAGGGCCAGCTTATCTCCTATCCTTTCTGTCTGTGCGGTACATTCTCCCAGAGTGGGCGAGTCTAGGTCTTCACTATTAAATGTTGTCATCTTGTGGAACTAAGGAAGCATGCCCTCTCCATCATTGCCTCCACCCTCTGGAACAGCATTCCCCCAGAGATAAGGACTACGCTATCTCTCCTTGGGTTCTGGAAAGCACATAAAACCTGGCTCGATCCCAGGCTTGGGATGGGTGCATTATTGTTTGTTGGGCTGGGCAGGGGGACTCTTTTGATTTTTTTTTTATTTGTGCTGTTTTTGGATCATTTTACTTTAGGCTGTTTGTGTGGTTTTAGGTTTTATCTGTTTTTATGGATTGGAGAGGAGGTATTGTATACCACCCAGAATCCCTTAGAGTTCGACAGCTATAATAAATAGCTAGTTTTCTTGGTGAAATCTTTTCTTTTTATAGGCATCATAGCAGTGGTTTTCAACCTTTTCTTCATTACAGACCCCCTTTAAATACCTTTTGTGGTCACCGGCCATGGTCCCAAACCCCAAAGACCTAACTCAAGATTTAAATCATAACATTTCTTCAAGGCTGCAGGGACCCCAATGACTACCTCATGACCGCCCAGGTTGAGAACAACCTCACTATAGGATTAGCAACAGGATTAAAACATTCCTTTGCCTGTCCCATTCATACCCTACAATATATAGGGAAGGCATTAACATTTAGCAGAATGCATATGGTGAGAAAAATTAAACACTTGCCATATAGCTGGCTTCTACTATGAGACACCAGTCTGCCAAAGTATTGCAGTCCTTCTCTGAAGCAGTAGAGCAGGGGTGTCAAACTGCCGGCCCGCTGGCCAGTTTCATCATACTGGAGCCGCGTCCACCCCATTGCCGGCAATGGCGAAAAAGCTCCGATGTGTAGGGAAGAGCCAAATGTGGAGAATATGCTACTCTATTTATCCATATAAATCCTTTGTTATAAAAATTAGTTCAAGCATAGCTTGATAGATATGTTTATTATAGCCTATAAGATGAGACAGAAAGGAGGATAGGGAAAAATTTGAAATAGGAAGAATTTAAAATATATAGAATGTACACTTCTGGCAGCAGAATGTGAACTGTATATAGTTCACATTCTGAACAAATGTCTTTTGGCATTTGTCTCAAAATTATATAATGCCAAATTTTCCGAACAAGCAACTTAAATAAATTATTATTATTTATTTGTTTGTTTGTTTATTTGTTTATTCATTCATTCATTTATCCTATTTCTAAACCTCCCATTTCCGTCAGGTAGCAATAGTACTTAGACATATACCGCTTCACAGTGCTTTACAGCCCTCTCCAAGAGGCTTACAGAGTCAGCATACTGCCCCCAACAATCTGGGTCCTCATTTTCCTGACCTCAGAAGGATGGAAGGTTGAGTCAATTTTGAGCTGGTGAAACTCGAACTGCCAAACTGCTGGCAGCCGACAGTCAGCAGAATTAACCTGCAGTACTGCATTCTAACCACTGCGCCACCACGGCTCATATACAAATATACAACAGATTTAATAAAATAGGGAATATATATAAAATGTATATTTATGGAAAAGATCTATTAAATGAAGAACAGCTACTTGTATGATATGTATTAGGAAAAAGGTATTGAAAAAACGCAGATATTGGGGAAATATTCAGAGAAATCCTTATAGTATTTAAAGAAACATTGAAAATGTTGCAAATAAATGTGCAAACAAGATGGAATGAATTTAAGCAAGAATAGCACTATCCGGGGATGTTGCATACTTCTCTATCAGATTCTACCCCCTCCCCCTGCCATCTTTACAAATTTCCTTAATTATCTGAAAAGAAAAACACAAATAGCAAAACAAAATGCTAGCTTCCTGAGAGTGACCTATGACTAGAGGTGATGGTTAAAACAAACTTCCATAATACTCTTACTGGGAAATGGATGTTTTTATTCCTGTGTGTCTCTATGAATGCTGCCTAATGTCAGCCATTTTATATTCATCTGATAAGGTTCTTATGAAACATTTATAATACGCTTTCAAAATATGTCCATTAGTCCCAAAGATTGCCTACTTTTTCGCTAAGGATTGCAAAAGTGAAAAACTGGGGGGAAACGTATTAACAAATTTGTTGACCCCTAATGAAAGATGAAGCCAAATTGAAAACCAGCCTCCAAATCAGATACATAAAATGGCAAATGTTTTGGTTTTATTTTTATCAAAGGCACTGAAAGAAATAAAAAGCCATATTTAAAATTGTTGCATCTTGAAATGTTAAGAATTCAAATTATAGGTCATCCTTATTATACACTTCTGCCTTGCAGTTGCATATTATCAAACCATGCATAGTAAAATTTAAAAAAATTATACACCTGTGCAAAAGTCCATCTGCCATTGTAGTCAAAAACCACAGATCCAATGAGAACCTTTTCTGCAAATACTGAAATCTTGTTTCAGTAGAGCAAATGTGGATATGCAAAGCTTCAAAGGACTAAATAACAACTGCTAACTATATAGTTACAGCCATAAAAATAAAATTATGAATAAGTTAACATGGATGCAGATTTTGATCAAAACAGTAATAGGAAATGCTGCAATAAATAAAAGGAAAAGTGTAAAATGTTCCCGATTTAACAATTAACTCCAGTATGAAGTATGAAGCAAAACTAGAAAGAAAAAATAATAAAATACAAAAGCAAAACCCAAAACTCTTTTCATTACCTGAAGATAATTATGAATTTTTCTTCATGTAAGAAAAAATGTAGCTAATATTGAAGTAATCTCTCTCTCTCTCTCTCTCTCTCTCTCTCACACACACACACACACACACACACACACACACACACACACACACACACACATTTTCTCTTGGTCTGTTTATCAGAGCAGTGAAGCAGAGATACAGGGTGACTTTGAGCCAGTCACTTCTTCACAGTTCAACCTATTTTGTAGGGTTATTTTATATAGGAAAAAAAGAGGTAAGAAAGCTATATAATAGCTGAATAAAAGGCAGGATGTAAATCTCTCATATTAATATTATATGAATATACAACTGTATACTTATTATTTAGCTTTATGAACTCACGTATCTAGGTAAGAGGTTGTACAAGCAGCTGTTAAAGTCCTTGATATTTTTGAAATCTGATTTAGAAATCTAAAATTGAAAACTTACTTCATTGTTTACTTTAGTTATCTTGGCATATTGCTGATAAAATAAAACCTTTAATAGATTTTGGGGTAATAAAACATAATAGGTCTGTCTTTGCTAAACAAGCTGTAGACTACTTAACTGGAAATATGGACTATGGCAGTCTAAAACTAAGGTCCTATTGAGGGACTAATCAAATAATATAGCTACATCTGGCTTTGACATGCTTTAAAATCCTATTTATAAAAGTAGCTTTCTGGGCAGGTTTTAGAAAATTATCCATCCTTTTTTCATGCAGCCTCAAGTCCATTGCTATAATAAGAAAATGTTTATAATACAATCAAAGCTCTATTTCCCTCCTAAGCACATGAGAATTGCCAAAACCCATGCACGCAGAACGAAAGAACCAGTCTCCTGTTTCTTAACAGGAAAGAAATCTGATCTTTTTTCACATCTCTCTTCTGAGGTTTTTTGCATTACCAATTAATTGTCTTCCTCCTGCTATCTGCTTGCACTGCCTTCCTTTGCTTTTTATCTCTGGATCCTTGACTATACTTAGTTTTCCCATAACCCCAAAGTTTTGCTTAATTTGGTTAACTAAAGAAATATTTTCTTTCTGTGCTTTAGGAGCAATGGAAGAATACTCAAGACAATTGCCATTTCATTGATGTTGGTGGAAATAATACTAACTTGAAACAGCCAGGAAATTGTATTCTTGGAGTGGAGCTTTCTTGTTAATCTTTATTCTTAAGAGGAATCCAGAATTCGATTCATTCCAACCTTTTCATTGCTATAATCAATCCGTGCCATATTACTTTATCACAGTGTTACAGTAATTGATCTGTTGATAATACTGATATCTGTATTCCACAGTAACTAGTATGGAAGAACCCCACTAATTCTGCATGCCCAGGAAGATTCCATCTGTATGATTAAACA